GTCCTTGGCCAGGGGAGGGACGGCGGCGGAAGAGCGGCACCCTGGGCTGGGAAAGGCGATTGGGGTCCCGGAATTTAAGGAGTATTTTCGGAGAGGTACTGTGGCTGCTTACGAGGAGGCGCTGGCGGCGATTAAGGAGAATACGCGGCGGTTGGCAGCGCAGCAGGTAAGAAAGATAGTGCGGCTTGGGGAGTTGGGATGGCCAATGAAAAGGTTGGACGCATCGCCTGTAGTGGAAGCGCGGCTCGCCGGCGCTGGACGGGAGGCGGAAGTTGAGGCATGGGAGCGGGGCGTGCTGGGACCAAGCCTCCGCGCAGTCGAGCGTTTCCTGCAGGAGGACTTGGGTCGTCAGCGACTACACCCCCCTTTTTAATAACTGCAGCTCCTTAACGTTTCTCGCGTGCGGGCTCCTCCGCCTCTCTCCCACTTTTCTCTCAGAAAGATAAGAGGGTGAAAAAGTTTACATTATAGTGATAACTTCTATTTAAACTGCATTGTTTGTCGAGCAACAAAAAGGGGTTTCGGATCCTCCATATGGTAATTAGTGATGGAGTTGACCTTGAAATATTTGGCTGCTGAAGTCAGTTCAAATCTACAAATTATTGCATGAATCCATCGTTCATCCAATGATCTATAGATTTTACAAAACTCTAATTTGACTCTGCAGCATATTTTGTTAACCTTCCTGCTCACCCTATGGTTAAAATTAAATTAAAATATTTTATTAAAATCATCTTTATTTTTCTTAATTCAATTTCAATCGTTGAAAGTGGAAAACTCTAAAGCAATGGATTAATTTACTGTGGAATGTCGTCTCTGTACATTCAAACAACGGCGGTCACGCCTGTGCATTCCCATGAGAACTTTTGTATTAGACATGTGGAGGCCCGACACGATATTTTCTAAACATGAATATAGTAGGAAGGGAAGGAAAGGGAAGGAGAGAGAGAGAAGGAGATGATTGGGGCAGTATTTTCCACATTTTCAACAAACATCTCCTATTGAAGCTTTTTTTTTTCAATTTTGTTGCAGTTCCGTTGTTTTTAAAAATTTTGTGCACCTAAGAAATGCTTTAATCGCCGAGCATAGTGTTCAACTGATGGCAGTATATTAATTTTTGGCTGAAGCAAAAGCAATTTTTTCGTGTTTCTTCAGTTCGATAATTATACTGCCATATTTCTTTTAGCTGGAAGTAAACTCAGGAATCATGCTTGCTTTGTTTGAAGCCGAATTCATTCAGTTAATTAAATACAGCCCTCTGTTCATCCACCAAACAGCTTGTTGGTTTTCATCAAAAAAGAAAGGGGAGTTGGTTCCTGAATGCATAGTAGTTAGTAGGGTAGCACAATTTTCTAGATGCATTTATATACATGCCACCCAATTGTTATATGTATTTACATATTTAACGCCTGAGATTTACTTTTCACACTTATACCACCCAAATCTTTCCTATAACATTATTTATTTATTTATTTTTACTTTTTAAAACGTGTAATACATTTTTCGTGCACACAAAACATGACATATATGAAAAAATTGAAGTCTAAGAACTAGATATGCAAATACATAGGAATTGAGTCGTATGTATATAAATCGTGATTTTTAAAATTATACCACTCATATGAAATCAAATGTTAATAATTAACATTTTTGGACGTGAAAAATAATTAAAATAAAAATAAAAATGATTGGTGTTTGCATTCATGTGTTTATATTAACATTACTGTCACTAAAAGGACAATCATTATCCCATAACCTTGTTAAGAATATTCAATAAGAGAAAAGATGCTTAGGAAAAAAAAAACTTATAAAAGCTCATGTCTTCGGTGATCTTACAAAAAGTTTTTTCAAGTAAAAGCTTAAAATTGTAGTAACCTTACAAAATTTTTCGCATGAACATGAGTTTCAAGAATTTTTTGTTATAGTTTTTAAAGAGATGATTTACATACTATACTGTTGATCCAAAAATGTCCAGGAGAAATGTCTAAGAAATAGAGCGCTGAGGAATGCGTGAGAGAGAGAGAGGGGGGAGAAAGTAAAGTGATAGTAGAGTAAAGAACATTAAATTTGCATAATTTTTTATTCATGAAATAGACCCATTATTTATATGAATCGGTTATTGCACAATTAAATGTTGTACCCCTAAAGTACTTATATACGACGGGGGTATTTCGATCTAGAAATAAATATGACTCATGGAGCCCATGGATACCTAGCTAGGAGGGGCTAGGGGATCGGGCCGCCATTATGTCGGGTAGCCACTGATTGAGGATTGGTTGTATCTACTGTTTCGAAGCTGCATGGGTTGTTTCACCCGTTCGGGTTGGAGGGTGGTGGATTTGTTAGCATGGATTTGATCAGGTAGTTTCTTTGGGAGACGATTCATTTATTACCAACTTGAAAGCACCTTCCTCTAGATTTGTAAAGACTGATGGGCTAGGCATGCAACACCAAGTCATCTTCAGTAGTTCTCATGGGCCCATGTCCCCTCTTTTGTTAGCCTTGAGGTAGGCTTGAGATTCTTGTTGACACATTTTTGTATGTACATATTAAATTTCCACGATTTTTGCTCCTAAATAGTAATAGCTATGATGTAAGGATTAACTGCATTTAAAACAAGTTCATGTAAGGATTAACTGCATTTAAAATTTTAAAATCAGGATTTTGTTGGTCTACTTTATTTAGGGATGTTAATAATTATATAAAAACTTGTGATCGATGTCTAAGAGTAGGCAATATTTCTAAAAGAAATGAAATGCCCCTAAATTTTACTTTGGAAGTTGAAATTCTTTATGTTTGAGGTTTAGATTTTATGGGACCATTTATATCATCTTCTGGAAAAATGTATTTTTTGATAGTTATGGATAGAAGATGCTTAGAACCATCAACAGTCATCTTCTTGATGTTGATCCAAAAATGCAAAATTTATTTTTTTAAAAATAATTGAGTCATCTTCTTGATAGTTCTAAGCATTCTAGAGAAGGAAAAAAAGTAAAAGATTCATCCTAACTTAAAAAACAGGTTAGGGCTTAAATTGTATAACAAAGCTACACAAAGGCCTAAATAAAATGTTGAGGATTTATGTTGCACTAGACAAACAAATGATGCGCCCCTAGTGTGTATTGTTTTTCTATGTCAATTTAAATCCACGGTAACAGTGCCAAGAACTTGACCCATCCCAAAATTACGCAATAATTTAGCTTTTCAAAAACATGTCCAACAACTTGACCAAATTTCTATTAAGTATTTAATGTGCAAAATAGAAATGTTATATAAAATATATAAAATAGTTCACACACTAGGAGTTCTATGCAAGTGCATGAATGACTTCAAGTAATATAGGGTTTTCTTTAAAAGCCTCAGTATCGACCCCACGAAGAAGCGAAGTAAGAAATCTCTTAGGCTAATTCTAGTTTACTACTATAAGCAATTAGTTTGGAAAGTTGATTAAAATTGTTTTAATGTATGCTAACAAAATTAAGTTTACTAAATTAATTTCTAAACTTTAACGTTAAATTTACTAAAACTAAACAAAGTTTTGTGACGAAGAGTTCAAATTTAAGAAAGTATCCTTCCCACTACAATGAGTTTTTGCTTAATGATAGAGATAAATGGTTTGAATTTGTATTGTGCCAAATAGGAACAATTATAATTTTGCACCCTTATTCAGTGTTATAGAGAATCATTTGCTAATCTCAGGTTTAGTCCCTAAATCCGTGGCTAGGCTAGGAGGATACTGGCTCTCACTCCAAAGCTCACACTTCCCTTCCCCTGAAGGCTAACACTTGCTTTAGTTCTTAAACACTAAAACCAAATTGAGAATTTTAGTCTGTCACCCTAAAATCTCAAATTTTACACCCAACAATGTATATTTTGCTATTTATTTTCACCTAATTTTATGAACGAAACACTCCTCTATTAAATTAAATGTGATTCTCACTCTGTTGTAGAAATCATACTCCATTTCCTGGATCATATATTTCACAGATGTTTCACAACAGATTTTAACATTTCAATTTTCCAGATCAAAAAGTAAATTAAGAATGGAGTGGAAAAGTCATCACAATTTATTTTATATTTTAAAATGACACATCCAAATTATCTCTTTATTTCATCATATCTCAAAGAAGAGAGAAAGCTAAAGAAATCTACTTAGAACTCATGAGGAAGATACGGCAAAACACAAATTATATTTATATAAGCAATTTATAAAATAAAGAAATGAAATAGCACAACTAATCTTAGACTCCTCCTCAAGCAAATCCCTCAAAGTTCCCTTGTAGCACTTTCTCTCTTTACAAACAATACTAAATTCTCTCTTAGAACTGTAATGAAGAAGAAACCTCTCACCTTCCTTCTCCTCTTACAATTCTTCAAGAAAATCCTCCCCATACACAAGAATTTACTCTACAACACACTCACACACACTTGCGCGTGCATGCGCGTGCGCGCGCGCACACACACACACACACACACACACACAAACCCTCACACAAGCACATGAGAGGTGCCAAGCCCTCAATTTTATAGAGACACAAATTCCCTCCTTTTTTTCAAGAGACAAATTTATTCATCCAAAAGACATGTCTCTTCATTCAAGAGCCTTCTCCAAGTGTCTAGATGCATTAAATCACTTCATGGAGTATTTGAATCACTTGGGAGCCTTCTAGAACATCAAAATCAACCAAAAATCAGTCCATAACCTTCTCGGGCGCTGTCAGCATTGGTCTGGGTGTCATCGGTGCTGGTCTGGGCACCTTCGACGCCGGTCTGCAACAACTCCACTAATTCGCCCTGTTTGGCTCGATTTTAGCTCTATTTCACCCCTTTTCAGTTGTGTTTCGTTCTTAACAGATAGACATACAAAATAAACATGAAAATAACCTTTCTTTAAAGTGTAATTTCATTCAAAAATGTGTGAGAAGTGTAAATAGATTAAACATAGAAAGAAATATCGAAATGTGCCATGATAAAATTTTCTTTCTTGCTCGTTTTTGCTCCAAATTGCACCTTCCTTTAAAGTGTAACATCATTAAAAATCATTGAAATTGAGTATAAAATATATATGAAAAAGTAGTCATTTTTTAGGCGTACCAACAACCTCGAGATCCTATGGCTTGTTGTTGAATTTTTAAAGAAAGATGTGTTGTTGCGGATCCTTGTGCTGTTGCAGATCGTAGTTGTAGAAGGTTGACCACAAAGCTAGCTTTAGGCTCCTTGGTGAAGTAATATTCTTAAAGTCTAAGGTTTAAATATTTAAATGACAAGTTTAAATTCAATTATTATGAGGGGAGTTAAAGTTGATTAGAGCGACACAGGTTAAGATCCCACAGTTCCCTCATTCTAATACAACTATTTTCTTCTGATTCACTTAGTCTAAATGAATTTACTAAACTCAACTCAATGAGTTCCATACTTTCATTTAG